GGTTTCCATAAGATTGGGTGGTCTGGTCTGGAGCCTCGTACATGCCGAAACCAAAATGTTATATTTGTTTATATCTTATATTATTTACTTATGAACAGGCTAGTCAGGTATTTTTCCATAAGATTGGATGGTCTGACTATAGCTTATCACCAACTGAAGAGAGTATGGATTAAGAATAAAAGTTATGGTAAGAAGGGACATGCTGAATCTTGATTTAAGATGACCGGTTCAGTCATATGTTGCATTAAAAGACAAAGTGCAGACAATTATATATAACTAAGGTACTTAAATGGTTCAGGGCGACTAGGCTGGCTAACCTAGTCATGTGCGAAAAAAAGAAAAAAGTTGTAGTGCCCTGTGTTTGTGTATATTTTATGGCTGAGCTAGACAGGTTCTCATAAGATTGGGTGGTCTAGCTTTATGTCTTATATAAGCTGGGTATAAAGGGATAAATCATTGAAAGATCATGAACTATTGTTTGACAAGGTTGACTTTGGGTTGGTGAGAGTACTTACCTCTTTGGTTTGGTCTTGCATATGACTGAATGAGATTACTACTTTGTCTAAGTTTTCAGTTGATAAGTAGTTGTTTTAGATGCTCGTCACTTGTTAGAGTCATAGGAGATAGTTTGAATTCATGCATTTTCTGAGCTAAGTTTATTTTTACTTAGGTCGATTTCTGCACTTTGTGGGATGTTTTATTATACTTGGTCTTATATAAATCTTGGTAAGCCAATTTCTTTACGGGAAGCGCTGCCGAAATTTCTAGGCAAATTTTATTTTTTTCAATGTTCAATTTATCTGACTTTTTGGCTTAGTAAAAATATGAAAAACCTCCTTTTCCAGAGGGAGTGCTGCCGAAATTTTTACTACTTCAGGGAGTTGGACAAAAATTGGACTTTGGGAAGTCAAAGTCATTTTCTAAATTTTGAACTTAGTTTTGTATAAATCTTGGAATAACACTTTCTCTACGGGAAGTGCTGTCGGAATTTCTACAGATCTAAAGAGTTAGTTAAATCTTATCTTAATTGAACTCAGATTCTGCTCTGGGTTCATATTTGACTTAGTAAGAATCTGAAAAAAATAAATTTCTAAAGGGAGTGCTGCCCAAATTTTTACTAATTCAAGGAGTTAGATAAAATTTGATTTTTCACAATTAAACATTGTTTTTTTTTCTTCATATTTGAGTTAGTATAAATTTTGGAAAGACATTTTCTCTACGGGAAGCACTGCCGAAATTTTCTCTGTTTAAAGGAGTTAGATTATATTTTGACAGGTGACAATTCTGGCAATCCACTATGTATAGAGGAGATTCAGCCAAAGGTCTACCTTTTCTTCAGGCACTGGCTTAGAGGTAGGTTTGAACTTAGTTTACAGAAGAACCTTGAGTGAAATTGTGATATGAAGATTATTCTCCATGGACTTATAGGTTTAGTCTGGGGATTGACCTGTCTTCTGTTACAGACCCTCTTAATCGTTTGATTCAGGATTTGGACTAGATTCAGCTTGAACCTACGAGGACCATCTTCTGTTATCACTGGTAATAGGTCGGTTGTCGATTCGTCGGTTTACGACTCAACTCCAATTCACTCTTGCCACTCAACCTAAAGGCTTTAGCCTTGTGATTTGAATTGTTTTGTTGTGTTTTCACCCGGATTTTATTTGAATGACCATTTAAGAAAAGTACTGAGTATTTTATTTTGAGGAGTTGCACAAGAGTGAGGCTTGCATGGCTAAAGCGAGGGGTGTGAGTGCAGAGAATGATTGAAGTCGACCCCGTGTAATGCATGAGTTTTTTGTTGAATCTTTGATGTAATTGCAGGTATGTTTGATGATTCGGATTTTAGATTAACTGTCTGCGATCATATACATATATATGGTTGAGAGGAGTCCCATTGTGATTGTGAGAAGTGATCGCCACATAATTATAACCCTTTATATCTATGTACATACATATGTCTTGAGTATTTCGCGCGACCTACTTTGACCTCGCGTAAGGGTTAAATAGATTATGTTTTTTAGAGAAAAAAAAGATCCCTTGTTATTCTTTGTCTTTTTAAGTTTTTATAGTTGGGCGTTGTAGTCCATGACAGTCGTCAAAGTCAAACTCTTTGATTTATCTCCAGGCCCTGGATAATGGAGCTGGTCTCCAGGGCGATAAGAGACGATTGTCACCACAGGTATGAATTGTGTACCACCCACTCTCTGCAAGGTGTAGAAGAGGGTGTGGTTCTCAACCGCACTTGGCGGTTGTCCAGCGTCGAGAGATCAATCCCTCAAGGCGCATGTCAGTCGGCACTTGAGTGTCGAATGCGACTCTCGAGATTAACGAGGACCGCATGAGTATGGGTACTACATAGTACGCCATCATTTGCGATTGCTTGCGTATGCTTGCATTGTGAGTCGATATGAGATTAACTCTGCGTCCACGCGGTTTTATACTAAGTCTCGTGCGTGACGCCTATCCGATTTTCCGCATCGGAGAGTTATGGGATGATTACTAAAGGACTATGAGTTTTGTCGCATTGTTTGTTTTGTGGCAAAAAATCCCACAATCGCAGACATTCTGCACAACCAGCGTTCGTTTGCGAAACGCGGTGTGCTTACCTGTACATGTACGGGTTTGCCTTACCCAAGAAGGGAGGGGCATGTTGTCTTCCGTTTGAGTGATTTGCCGGATGTGTCACCATTCTTGGCCAACGCTAATAACATACCTTGCGTGTGCAAGGATAAGAGAGAAGTCAGCTTGTGTGGCGAACTACTCCAAGGTTTCCTCCGGTGGAAAAATCGTCGAGGCAGTCCACCTACGTTTGACGTGGATAGTGTTAGGTTTTGCATGGTGGATGAGAAGGTTGTCCCGCATCTGGGAAACTCTCTGTCGACGACTGATGTCGAACTCTGGAAGAAGAAGTTCGAGGATTTGGTAGTAACATCTGTAGATCGTAATTCTGGGGAAACGGTTGTTATGTGTCCTCATCTGTATTTTGGCGCCATGATGAATTTGTTTGTGCTGAACTCTGGATATAGCATAGTGAAAGAGTCTGCCACTTGTGCTATTCGGGAATTGTTGGAAGATGTGTCGGCGCACAACTTGACAGAGTTTGCGCGAGTAGATGTGCATGGAAGCTTTGAGAATGCTTATACGATTCCCAAGCATAAGGACTTAAGCCGCTTTCAGCCTATTTGTCCATCGTTTTCGGACCCTTTGGCTCGGACAGGAAAGTTGGTCGCTAAGGCTTTAAATCACATGTTGTCCACTGTTCCTAAGAACTGGCACTTCAACCTATGATCGATTTCGGACCTTGCACTGACCTTAGAGCGTGGTAACCGGAAGCTAGCAGGGCATTGTCGAGCGCATCGGTCCGACACCAAAGACCTTCGATGTCGGAAGCTAGCAGAGCCTACTTAACAGGGATACCAGCAGGGCATTGTCGAGCGCATCGGTCCGACACCACACAAGCGGGGCAGGACCCTCCCGACCATGTCATGAAGGAGTTGGTCTGATCCTCGTCTCGAATACATATGGAGCTTCCGCAAGCCGCTCCGGCCGAGTGCGCCCGCCATACCTCTAGCGAGCCCCTACGACAGGATAGGGCCTACGCGAACACGACTTACCTCTACCTTACGGGAGTTGTCACCTTGGGCGTATCCCCGCCGAGCTACCAGTCCACAATACAAAAGCTAATCGGCTGCAATCGCAGAGGTAGACCAGCCGAGGGCATTTCTCGTTCGCTGTAGCATAGGGGGTACGAGCGGTTTTACGCCTCTATCGGACCCCCATGTGAACCGACGCCTTGGGGGGCCGAGGTCCCAAGCGCGACTCGTTGTCGGTCGACTAGGACGCATCCCACACAACACGCGTACACCACTCTAAGGACATAAAAATTAAAATACGCATGCACGCACACATATATAGCACACAGGCAAATCGCATTTCATCAGAGTATCGTTCGCCACCTTCTGGACCTCACTAATGCGTATTCTATCATCAAACTGGATTTTGAAAGTCAGATCAACCGCAAGAGTTAATCCAAATTTCCCTCGAACTTGACGAAAAATCAGCTGTCTCAAATATTTACGCGTCGATTTACGTGAAAAGTCCTTGATTACATTGTAGATTCGAAGGTGGGATTTCAAACCCCAGCCGTACAACAAACTCACCTTCCTAGGATTCTTAAGAATCCCAATAAGCAACTTCTTAAGAAAACCACACCGAGGTTGTCACTTACACACATAAACAATCTCGAACGACCCACCCTGCTCCAAGAGCTTACGACATTCCTTTAATCTCAAAACATCCGGCCCAAATTTCAGTTTCGACTCCCCGAAAGCCTTGATGAGCTTATGCCAGCGAGGGAACCAAGTGTTACCCCCTCCCGTACTAACTTTAGTTGGGAGCTTGTCATCCGACTTACACCGATCCAGAAGACGGTAGAAGTCGAAAGTCCAAGCCGTGTCACCATCCCGAAGAAATTTGACGGGGACTAAACTACCGTACTCGGTGACTGCCGGATCCTTACCCTTACCTCTCAATCTCTCTCTCCTGCCAGACTTCCTCCTCGTTCCGCCCTTATACTTTGTCTTAGTAGTGCCCGACGTATTCAAGAATGGTGATCATTTCTTAATGTACGTGAGCTCTAACGTGCTCAAATCCTTACCGCTTAAGACATCGACTGGTATAAGGACGTAATTACCCGAACCGAAATTGGCGAGCCAACGGTGAAAGTGCGACTTCGAATGTCTACGACACTTGTATAAGTGTTCCTTCCACCGTATCGATGTGCTGCGTGTGGTTTTCCCAACATAGGCATGTTTACAGAATGGAGAAACGACTACATATACACAGTCCGTCAGATTAACGAAATCAACCCCGTGCTTGTTGTACAAATGGCTCCAATTACTGACGTACTTACCCAGCCACTTACTGACATTATTAACGGCTAATAGCAAAATCACAGTAACAAACAAGGCGTCAATACGACTATCAGTGTGGACAGTGCTACATCTCCAACTTGCGAGAAATCGACATATGGCCCACAACTGAGGCACTCGTAAGTCCCACTAATGTGTCTCCTTGTCCACATCATCATGCGGCTCTGGTCCGACATTCTCCGATTCTTCGACATTGATGGTCTCTGGCAGCCTCTCCTGCATCTGGCTCACGTCAAAATTCAGGTACGTCCGATGGTCGGCGATATCGAATATCGCGTCCACTTTCCCGTCATATGGTACGCCTTCCTCCTTGCAGATACGCTGCAGCTCACCGGCGTCCAGCATCTTCAACTCCTGCATCATCAAATTTCGGAACTTGTAACGGGTCAGCGATCCCTTCACGTCTGGAGTATCGATTCCCGTAGTAATCGATGTCGTCTTCCTCCCCCTGGCCGACAAGGGTGTGCGCACAGGAGTTTTACGCTTCGCGGATCCCGGAGACTTGACAACCTTCGCTCGCGCACGAGTCATCCTCCCCGTAAACGTGGCCGCCTTCTGTCTTGGTGTCCGCTTAGCTGGTGATACCATCGGTGGGCTGCTCTAGATCACTTTTTCCTTGCCCCGCTTCCGCTTTTCCGACATGACCAATTTAGCTGTTTTTTCGCTCAGGTCTTGAGTGATACTGGCTTCACTCCCACTGCTGCTGCTGCTACACACAGGTTCGTGTAGTACCTTTTTGCCCTTGCCACTCGGTAACTTCCCTAACTCCGACATCGCTAGCTGCATACGTTGCACAAACTTGTCTTCCAGCTCCCCGATCTGCAGCACCATCTGCATACCTAATTCCTTCTTCAACTCGGCGTGGCTTTCTGCCTCCCGCCTACGCCTTTCCTTCTTCTTTCTAGCCTTCTCGTCTTGCCTCGCCTTTTCCTCAGCTTCCCTGATCCGCAACTCTTCCTCGCGCCGCTTCTCTTCTTCCTTCTCTTGCTTCCGCCTTGACCAGTTCTCCTTACGCATCCTCTCCTCATCAAAATGCTGCTTCATAGTGACGACGCTTCTGCCCAGTTCACTAATCTGCTGAGTAACTCCCCGATCCAGATGCGAGATCGGTTCCCTCCTCCAATCTCCACACCGTGGCGATCCTGATCTTCGGGAGTCCGTAGATGTTGACGGACGTGCTGTACCGCCATATCTTTGAGGTCGTGTACACTGGTTGGCGTAGTGGCCGATCTCGTTACAATTGTAACAAATCGGTCCCCTCCGTCTATCGCCACGGTCACGATCCGCATCACGTGCATTCCGTTCTCGCTCCTCGTTCCGATCGTCACGTCCATCTCTACTTAGTTCGTATCGCTCCGAATTCGACATCCTGCACGTACAGTACCACGTGTGCCTATCCGCTCCGTCTCTTCATCGACGTCCGAAATCACTGTGTGACGAATAACCAGACTTCCAGTAGTATCTCGTAGTCAACAATACGGCGCTCACTCACCACCGGCACGTCATCTCCAGCGGAGTTCACGCTAGCATTACACATGAGAATGTGATAGTCACACTGTAGTGTAGCATACACACGGCGCGAGTGCGCCCAAAATGGCGCAAAGCGCCCAAACCACACCAGAAACAAAGTCAAAGAAGTAGCTCGATAAGGTTCCACCGCAAACTTTCACAACTCCAAAAACCGCCGATCACTCCTCATTCCTCCGCGGTTGAACCGTCCGCACTATCGCAGACGGCGCAAACCACGGAACCTAAAGGAACTACAAATTGACTTTGCTCCTAATATAGCATCTCATTCGCAAAATTTGAAAGGTACCGGTACCCTTACGTCAGGGGGCCCGTACCCATGACGATACGCTGAAAATGTAGAGACCTACTTCCCGCTAAGAAGTCTACTCAGGTATACCCGGTTGTAAACAAGTGCCCCGTTCCGGCTACCCAGCTCTAGCCCCCAAACTACCAGGACACACCAAATTAATGCCCAAACCCAGATTATGACCGACAAACGAGATTGCGACCAACAAACACCCTGCACCCTGTCCGAACTGCCAAGATGTCTTGGCCAATCCCGAAAAAGGAAAAAAAAAAAAAAAAAAAAAAAAAAAAACGCTTCGATGCTCGAAATCGAACTTGGGTCTGCACCTTCACGGTTAAAAGGCAAACAGGGGCTCAAAGAGAGCAGAACGTGGCATTTTCAGCCGCACGATCTTTGAAAATCGAGTGGCTGGAAATGACCATGCGGAAGTGGATACGGGCATGACGCCGTGTAATGGTGAAACACAAAATTTGAGAAACAAAACAAAATAAAAACAACAAAAATTGAAGGAAAAGCAAAGACAAATAACGCCAGGAGCATGGTCCCTTTATTTTTATTTTTTATTTTTTTTTTACCAAAAAACGGGCCCAGTGCCCAAGGCTGATATTACGAATGGAAGATATTGAGGTCGGGGTCCTTACAGTCTACCCGGAGTACCGAAACCAAGTTTGCTCAGAACCGGGCTCATCATCTTTTATGATGAGAAAGATCATACTAGCGAAAACCATAGAATCTGAAAGTTTTAAAGTGTCGGAGCCATTACCCGACTGTGGCTATGAAGGTTTTTAGCTTCGACAGACTGCTACAACTAAACAAAACGCCGTCGCAGAAGACCACGAATGCTCAGAAAACTAGGAAACCCTACAACCCATCTAAGCTTCCCGGCACTGACATACTCCCTGCTGAGCTCTTCCAGGTCTCACACCCCCGCCTTGCTGAGTTACAGGGCGACACGACTCGCCCCAGCTCCGACCAGCGTCGTCCCAACAGCGACCCTCGGTTGTCCCTTAGAATGCCCCCCAAAGCATTCCCCAGATCTCTTTACCAAGCCTCACGCTCCTGCACCTGCAGGTTCCAGGGCAATGCCCCAGCACCGGCCAGCGTCGTTCTGGCATTGAACCCCCGCAAGTCGTTAAATACATCAACACTGGAACATCTAAGCTGAGTTATTAGGGGACCCCAGATTCCTAAAACATTCTTTAGAGCCCTCGTTAGCAACCATAAACCACCAGCAGCCCTTTACGACTAGAAGATGAAAAATGGCTTCCTAACCTAGCGTAACTCCTAACCTTCCTTAAACCAGGACATTAGAGACTCAGAGACAATCCCACCCAAACCAAAATCCCCCATAGCCACTCTCTTCTCGCCACCTCACAGCCCCCCCCAGTCTACCATTGCATTGCCTTCCTCCCTCGACAAAACCCAGATCTCTCTACCAGACCTCACGCTCCTGCAATTGCAGGTCACAGGGCAGCGCCCCAGCTCCGGCCAGCGTCGTTCTGGCATCGGCAAACCAGGGGCACAGAACAGAGCAACCCTACGGATATCGGACCAGGCTCGACCCTCCCTGAACCCCTCTATCTCAGGTATAAAAGAAAGCTAGATGCTACCACAGAGCCGGAAAGCCCAAAGAACTTAATACCGCACAAAAGGGGTGAGGTATAAAAACAGGAACTGCCGAAAACAAAAAACGGCTTACAAACCCTAGAACTCCCTGACCAGCCCTTCCAGACTTCCTCCAGAACGCCGTACTCCCTGCCGAGCTCTTCCAGGCCTCACGCCCCCACTACAACTGAGTTATAGGGCAACACAACTCGTCCCAACTCCGGCCAGCGTCGTCCCTGCAGCAACCCTTGGCTGTCCCATGAGATGCCCACCCCAAAGCACCCCCAGACGCTCCACTAGGCCTCACGCTCCTGCATCAGCAGATTACAGGGCCACACCCCAGCACCGGCCAGCGTCGTTCTGGCATAGAATCAACCGCAGATCACCAAGTACAGCAGCATCAAAGTAGCCCCGAAGTTTGTTAGAAGTCCCAAAGTCCTTAGCCCTCTTAATATCTTTCGACAGAAAAACTTATGGTAGAAACTGCACAACCAACAGAAAACCGTCCTCCCTGCAACTGTTGAAGAAACCACAGATCTCATATTCAGTCCTCGATCTGACACATGGCTGGTCTCCTACAGTTGCATACTGTAACGTGCAGACCAGAACAAGAACCGACCTTTCAAT